TAATCAACTTCTGAAAATGTGTAAGTAAGCAGCACCTTGTCCCAGGGTTCAGTGGCAATAAATAGCACAGTATTTCAAAGAACACCAACCTTGCACAATAATTACACGGTGGTACCCTGCAAGGACGCTGACTATTCTATTTGCATTGTTCAGAAGTGAAGAGGTTAGACTTATTTACATTCAAGTAGCTTTAATTAAGCTTAGAGATAAATGCTCTTAAAATGAAGGCTGGGATGATTATACCTCTCGACATTGATTTTAGCCTAGATGGTTATGTATGTAACATGACAAAAGGCCCAAAGGCTGCAACCACACAAAGGGAAGAGCCACGAGCTCCTGTGTACCTCCCCACCGTGGAGAAAAACACCAGAAAATGCAGTGAAATCACGACCTTACTTAAGCCAACAGTGTAAGCTTAGAGGAGCCAGGCTGTACATTGAAGGGTGCTGCTGACCACTGCATGTGTATACAAAGATGAACTGCACCCAGCTGCATCCGCAGGCAGCAGGGGATAAATGTACTGGGTTTGGGGGGAAAGGCAGCTGGAGACAGCAGCAGGCTAACACACACCCTCCAGGACCCTGCTTGCGAGGGCGTTACGCGTTAGAGACTTACACGAGGCTGCAGCCACACTGGGGTAGCCACCCCGGCTCGTACCGACACTGTGCCAAGCGAGGAGCACAAGCGCGTAACGCGAGTGGCAGCAGGACAGAGATTCCTCAACATTTACGAAACCAGACTCAGATTTTCCTGGACGTCCACTTGCTGCAGTCAGCACTAAGTCTTCATCTTCCCGTGACACCAAAAAGGAAAAGTAAAGCAGATGCTAATTTAATTATATTTTCCATGAAAACAGGAACCTGTTTGGGGACCTGTGCAGACAAACCAGCTCTGCGTCCAGCGCAAGGGCTTTCTCTCTGCAGCGCCTGCCCTTCCCGAGGCCGGGAGCTGCACGCTCCGAGGAGGGGGCAGCAGGACGGGGCCCGGCAGGGCCGCTGCTCCCCAGTGCCTCCCTGCGCAGAGGGAGCAGCGGGAGCGGAGCAGAACTCGCCAGTCCCGGCTCGGCCCAGCGCCCCTAGCAAGAGAAGTGAAACGTGTGGGGCAAACCAAGGCCTGTCAATGACAGGCAAGGCTCCCTTCAAAGCAGTACAAAGCAGACAGAGAAACGCGTCCATCTGCCAGGTCCCCTAAGAAGGTTGCTGATTAAATTTTTCAGAGTGGGTATTTTTTTTCCAGCCAATAAGCAGAGGTCTGCACAGTACAGAGTCACCTTTTTTCTCACAGCAGAGCTATTCTTAGAGGACAGAGTCCTCCCTCCCCTTTTTATGTTTATTACAAAAAAAAAATCTTCAAAAAGCAACAAGGGGTTTAGAAGACAGTTTCAGCACCATTAGTTATGTGCATATCCCTTAGATATCAGTCCTCAAGGAAAAGACAAATCACAAAAGGAGAGAATGGCTGCTTGCTTGATCTCCCCGAGTTATCACTGTAAGGGCAAACTACAACTCACAGATAAACACAGGAAAGCTGAATATTTAAATTGCTCTCTCACTGTAAATGAAAAATAAAAAGAAAAAAAAAAACAGATTCATATATATTCTAAAATGTATCAAGTCTGACCGGTCTTCTAATAATTTAACTAACTCTTGTCATATGCAGTCACTTTGCAACCTACAAAAAAAAACAAACAACCAAAAAAAAAAAAAAAACTTCACAAAGGTTTGACAGTTTCAATTTAGTAACATGTAGTTTAGAAACAAATATACCAATCCAGAATTCTCTTGTTCTCTTGTGTAGGAAAGATGAAATATTTATAACCCTGCCAGTAATTAGTACCTGATAATGATTTTATGCTGCACTGTTGTTAAGAGAAGCAATCAAAAGGATTTTTTAAATTCTTCCTGTTTAAACTCAGCCTACAAGCCCATGAGCACGCAGGGGGTCGCAGGGGGCACCAGCTTTGGCCACGCACAGGGGCAGAGGGGACCCGCGCCTCTGGCTGACTAAGCCGGGGCCTACCCGTTCATGGTGCCCGGAGCAGCGTCCCCAGCGGAGCCGCGCGGGGCGGGCAACGGCCTTTCATTAGCACAGAGCCACAAAAACTGATTTCCTCCTCTCTTGCTTGCAAATCTTGATAGTCTTTCAAAGGGCCTGAAAAGCACACTTAAAGAATAAACCTCAAACCAATCTTATCCTGTGAGCGTGATGCAACAAATCTCTTGTCTTAGGTACAAAGCGAGTCATTCTGCTTGCTGGCATTAAACCAAAGCATCAGGAAAGCAGCCCCTGCGCTGGCAGCTCCACAGGCAGCATTTTGCTAACAGAGGTTCTGGACTGGGGTATTTGTTAAATTGGGTGTAACTTCAACAGGGCTACAGAGAAGGCCGTTCAAGCAACTTGTGAAATAATGTTTTGGTGTCTTAACAAAGTCAAGCTATTTCTCCAAGCAGTTCTCTGGTGAGATTCGTGGAGTAATTGCAACCCCGCTGCAGAGCTGACAGGGCAGAGCTGAGCAATGAGCCCAAAGAGGCGCCGCGGGGTGAGGCTCGGAGGGCTGCGCAGCCCGCGGTGCTGCCCGGAGCCGGGGCGCAGAGCCCCCCGCGCGCTGCCCCTCGCAGGCGGGGAGGGAGGAAACACAGCTCAACACCCCAATAACCTCTATAGGCTTTTTCTTTAAAGAGCTTTTAAATGATTAAGTTTCCTTCAGAATACACCAGTCATTTCATCTGTCAGTGTCAAAAGACCAGGCGCAGTTGCACAGATTCAAGCACAGACCCCAAACTTGCACAATTTCCTCCCACCAAAGTCGCAACTGATTCAATTCATCTGGTCTCTACTTGGCAGAAGAGCAACTGATTTAACTAAACGCTTTGATGTCCACGCATCATCCGTTTTTACCTTAACGGCAAACAGACTCTGCAGGAGGAGAAAATAAATAAATAAATAAATAAGTACATATAGCTTATAAATCTCTCTTCGGAAACGTCCACACGAATGGTAGTAAAACCATTGCCCGGGTTCAGTTTCACACTTTATTAACTCATCACTGCAGACTGAACCCTCCTGCCTGGGCCTGGTGGTGGGACAAGCCAAGCGCTTCCGCTCTCACCAGCGCCGAGCCCGACCCAGCAGCAGCCCTCTGCAAAGCAGGTGCCAAGTTTTGATTCAGCTCCCTGCCTTGGGCTCACCTCCAATTACCAACTGGCACGACACCTGATCCATTTGTTTTTACGCCGGTGAGGATACTGGCTCACCAATTCATAGCACTTAGTCCTGTTCTCCTTGAAGGCAACCTTGACTCCTCTCCCGCGGCGGTGAGGGCCGGACCCACGGACACGTTGGTGAGTTACCCGATTTCTCTGCAGTCTTTCACAAGTGAAACGTGTAGAGTTGCACTCTCCCTTCAAGCTACCACCCAGCTAGTTCTGTGTCTATGCAAACTAACACCACCAGGTTTCCTTACGGATTTTACAAGTCTGCATAGATGCATAAATGATTTTTTAAAATCCATCAGTCTATAAAATATTTAATCACTATGAACAGCGATGCTTCACCACTGCCCGCTTTCCTAAAAAGAACAAACCTTTCCTCTCTGCTTCAAACCAGAAAGCAGTTTCCTCTCGCGCAGCCTGTCTGAAGGACACCTACACCCTCTCCACGGGCCTTGCCTCCCTTTCCCAGCTCTTCCAGTGTCCCAATGCAGCTATCAACTCGCTAACAGCTGGCCAAAAGCTCCTCTCATTCAAACCCATATATAGCCCAGAAACGTGTGGCTTTCAAAAATGAAAGAAAGTATCATTGACAGAACATTTTTGCATGAAAAACATACAATGACAAACAATTCCTTTTTACATGGAATCAACCTGGGGTACTAGACCTGAACAGCAGTAGGAGAGGAATTAATATGCTTCTTTTACACTTAAAAAACCTCCTATCCTGATATGGATCCTGTAATATTCCCCAGTCTTCTGCTGCAGACGACAGTCATCTGCACTTCAACTTCACAGCAACTACAAGAAATCACAAGCCCCCAAAACTGCTACCGCAGCATCAGGAATAAGTAAAATATTCTAATCACCTACACGTTTTCCATCTCTCCCTCGTGCATTCAAGCTTACATCAACCTGCATTCCCTACGCTTCTGGTCTACTTCTCGCAAATCGCAGGACCCGGAGCTGCTATTTCACGGCAGCCAGAGGTCACATCAACATGTTTGCTCCAGCTGACCCTCATCCAGCAAGTTGGAAAAAATCAAGAAAACCACCACGCTTTTCAATAAAAAACTTAAATATAAAATTCAATGTTACCAAATATGAAGTTTATCATAGAAAAAAATCTGCGGAACGAACAGACAACCGGAGTATTTTCATAACAAAGCTATTAACAATTAGAATTACATCTTGGAAAGCACAAGCTGAGCTTTGACAATGTTTTACATAAGTATAGGAACGGTTTAAATGAAACTCCTGAAAAGAGTAACAACAACAAAAAAATATTTCACCATCTTGCTGTTTCATAGTGCAACCTTATGTCTCTGTCCAAAAGCATGCAAACCAGTCAAACCCTGTGAATTTTTTAAGCCAATAAAGTTTTTGTTTTTGTTACAGAAACAAGTATTTGGATCAACCCAATTACATCTTCTTGCCAAGCACATTCAGCACGGCTAATGATTAATGAATGTAGTGTTTTTCTTTTTATTCAAACAGCCTTCTCTCCAAGAGAAAAAGGAAGCCTAGTAATCACGAATTATTGTGCCTCAAAAGCTAATCCTAAAGAAAAGCTTAAAAGAAATAGATGCAATATTTTAATGGCGACAGTAAGCTGCAACAGTGATACTACTGTAGGGTACTGAGAGAGAACATCCCCCACCACTAAACGGCTACCACATTGAAACGGGTACTTTTTTCTAGTGGAAATATTGCTTTTAAAATGCGGCAATGCAAAATGCTACCAGAGATCCCATTTTACGAGGCAACAGCACAGACTGCTTGAAAACATACCTCTAAACTTTTGATTTCTCATCAAAAACTTCCTTTGACTCTCCTCACTCCGGCACTGTCCCTCATTAACGACTGGCTTTAGGAAGCAGAGAAAACGCCAGCTTTGAAAATACCAGTCCGGTAACTGCGTCTCCCTCTCGCTCCAAAGCCCTTCGCGGGTCGCGCCAGCCCGGCGGTACCTGCGGAGCCCGCGGCCCCTTCCCCGCCGGGG